ATATGAGTTGTTTTAGATCGGCTAACCTGACTTTTGAGACAATGCGGAGCAACGTAGACTAATGACGGGGAATCAAATTTTTAAATTTTGTGAAAAATAATATTATGACAGCAAAAGAACCCTTGGGTGAATCATTATTCATTTTTAACATCTAATTAATTTGTCACTAACAATGGATGGATATTTTTTTTTATTATTAATAATTTTATTTTTAATTTTCTTGTTTCATCTATAAATCCAGTAAAATTTTCTCTTCTTTACTTAAAAAATTGAATTATTATAATATTTGATAAACCTGTAAATAATATTTAAAAATAATTGAAAAATTACCTTAAATAAGTATTTTATTTGATATCAATTTTTCAATTCATATTATAAGATTTCAAAAGAAATCTTAAAGTGGATCCAGAAACTGAGCGAGAAAGCCAATGCTTGTAAAAAGAATTAAAATGTATGTTTCATTTTTTATTTTTTAAGATCTGGAAAAAAATTGTTTGTATCTTATCAGCTTAATTTTATTTACTTGTATTATTGCTAGCCAATTCTATCAGTGAAAAATATTCGTGCAAATTATGAACACGATGATTTGAATTTAAACGGTTTGTGTTTGTTTTGGAAACTCCAGATTGATTGTTACCAAGGATTAAAGGTGTTTGAATTATTAATCATCCCTCCCTTCCATTTACGCCTGCACCCGCTCAAGCAATTAGCAAAAACCAATCAGTTGAAATTCAGAGTGGGTGTGAAGAATATATAAGTTTTGAAGCACCAGCGGCAGCAACTTAATCGAATATTCCTCGACGAAAACAAACATACTGTACGCGGGTGAAAGGAGATGAGCCAAGACACGATAAGCCGGCGTTGCAACGTCAGCCAAGCAAACACGGCTCACCGTATTTGTGATTAACTGTGTGTGTACACCACCTCATAATGGGGTGCCCTCTCGTGCACTTCAGGGCAGTGTACAACGATTTTGTTGTCTTAAGAATCGTCCGAAGGTAATGAGAAAGTTTAAATTTAGGATCAAACTTAATTTCCAGTAACAAATTCTATTCTTGATCCTGGAAAAGTACTCATTCATAAAACCTCGATCTAAAATACCACCTCTAAGGCTTCATCAGAGTTTAAAAATTTCCCGCTTTCCGCAAAAAAGTTTGAGCGTACTTCTTGGTTGGAAGTGATCCAATATGGACTATTTGGAAATTAGTGGAAAGACCGAAATTAGATTTTTCGGATCAGTTAATTAAAACTTTCTCCGGGATTAAAATGCTATTGAAGAGAAAAGGTGGAACCCTTTTTCAACCTTTAGGGGTGCGATTTTTATCAAAACCTTAAGATCAGTCGAAAAATTTTGTCTTCTTATGAAATACAGGATAAAAATCAATGCTTGAAAGCGATTAGAATTAAATTTACACAGGATCGCAAATTCCTTAAGTGCTATTTTTTTTAGATTCTCAGATTTTGAAAGATGATTCGGAAGGTTCACGTTTACGCACTGCCCCACACATAACCTAGGGGCACGGCTGCCTGTCTTTTTGCATCCGCCCGCTTTCGAGATGAGCAGGCAAACAAACAACGCACCGACAGCTCCCGAGTAATTTTTGCTGGGCGTGTCCTCGAAATGGCCGTAAGGTCAAGGTCTTTGATAATTAATAATAAGCACGGCGAGTGTGTCACAGGCAGTGCGTGCGCTGCAATTATTGTTTAGGGAAAATATCACACAAGTTGCAATCTCGCCCGAAGCTGACAGTTTGTTCCAAAACGAGCGACTGTTTTTGGCATTTTGCGATAACAGGAATCGCGGGCTGAAAATGCACACATATTTCTCCCCTATATGTTTCCAAAGCTTTTGAAAAACTGATTTAACAGAGAGACAGTGCTGAAAGTCCAGGAAAAAACCTAGCCTTGAATTAATTTTTTTCTAGCTTTATATAATTTGAAACTTTTGAAATAAGAAACTTTTAAAATGTGATTATTAGTCTCTAATAGTTATTATGATGTATTTTTTTTTATTTTACTTTTTTTTAGAGTTGTGTATATTCTTGGTAATAATTCAGCAAATCCAAAAATAGCTCTGCGTCAAACTATTGCTCCTTTGATTTAACCCCGTCCGTCTAACTCTTTAATCAAGTTGAAGGGCTTCATTAGTTGAAACTCGCGCGGAATTTTGTTAGACTGGCCGTTCTCGAGAGTCGATCCCACGAGCCCGAGCAATTACTCCGATTAACCAGCGCAAAACAGACCACAATCATTCAGACTGGCAAACCCTCGTCGCTCGGCTGACGTGCACTGCACCACCAGCTATGCGGCACAGCATCGCAAAAAGCCACAGAACATCACTTTCACTCGGCGAAAGTTGAATAAAACATGTTTTCATTAGCAGCAAAACCCTTCCTTGTCCTTTTCCCGCCGGCAAAAAGAACACGAGACTCGCGACTACTGCTTGGATTGTTTGCTATTTAAGCAGTTATGCAACCGGATTTGCTGACGCGGACGCCAGGTTGCCTACGTGCTTTTTGTACAGGTGCAAACACTCGGATCCACTGCCTCTTTTTTTGTCCGAAGCTGCACAATTTCTCTTGCGTCTAGTGTATTTTTTTCTGCCACATCAAAGGCGACCCTCGATAAAAAAAAATGCCGCTTTTGATGTGACATCGGGGTTATTGTTTTAGGGACTGGTGCCGGACGTGCCTAATTCACAATGGCAGCTCTGAACTCTGACCGATTGGCATATCCGATGATCCAAGGCTGCTTTGGTGATTCTAATAACAGACAAAGCCGAGTTACTTCAGAGTCTGAAAAATAAAGTTATATTTTTTATTTTTTAAGACTTATATAAAAATTAAAATCTAGGGATGTTATGTTAGTTAATTTAGGTATGAATGGCTTAAAATTGTTAAAGGAAAATAATTATTTAAACAGAAAATTTTCTCATTTCGTAAAATTCCGATTTCTGTTGTTTGCATTTATGCATTTTTTTCTATTTGCCTATAGAATTATTTTCTATTTTATATGGATTGTGAGCGGCTTTAGCATGAAGCTGCATTGCATATTTTCCAATTTAAAAATAGCACAGCGCATATACAAGACCAAAACCCACACAGATACGAGTTGAAACCACTCTCAATTTGCAGAAAGCACTTTCACAGCAATGCCGCAGCATTTTCTATTTGTGCAACAAGCACTCGAACCGAGATCGATACTTGCAATCCGCGGCACACACTCGCGCTTCCCCGCAGCACTTAAGCGCAATATTGCACCTGCAGCGGATGAAAAATGAAAAAATAAAACACCCTTCTCGCGTGGAGATAGCGCTGACGTGGTGCCTTTTTTTCTGCGGTCGCCGTCAAAGTGGATCACATTTGCAAGAACAAACATGGTGTTGACTCGTTGATTCCTCGTATATATGTAATTCCTGGCGGTCGACTTCCCGCTTTCCCGACCAGCTCAGCACCATTTTCTCCGCAATATTCATCTTTCTCGATCGTTCACTCCAATTGATGCCAGAGCTCGTCAGATTGATGTCACGGTGGACGCGACGAGCTGCAGGCTCTGTACATAATTTTCTTCTTAAATGACTTGAGCTCAAGTGCAACGAAATTGAAAGTCCTGATTGGATGAGAAAACGGCAGGTAGTTCATTATCCGCGCGAAACTCGGGCAGAAGATTGGATTGGAAACTTAAATGTCCTTGGTAGATTAATTAAAAACCTAATTAAAATGTAAACTTCAATTCTTAATCATACTGTAAAAACTATTTGAGCATCTTTTGTTGTAAAAAATAAGAATAATAATAATGAAAATATTAAAAAAAAAAAAAGACTTGCGGCTGAACGATGCAATTTTTATGATTTAATCTTGCAATAACGTGACTTACGAAATCGCTCTGTCGCAAGCTTCAATCTGATTAGCATCAATTTGCCAGCAATGCGCGTTCGCCCTCATTGATTATCCAATTATCCTTCTTTCATTCTGAGCACTTTTCTTTGAAGGGGCGCACGATAAAGCAGAAACGCCCAGGCGGCTTGAATGGCTTATTACCAGCTGTTTATCAGCAAATTGAGTTGCCAAATTATCAAGTAAATTCTTGTTTTTTTTTTTTACTTCTCTTTAATCTTCTTTATCAAAATTCAAATTTGATGAAAAATAATTTTTTACACAATCAAAAAATTTTTATATTTAATAATATATTTACTATTTTACTTTAATTATATTATTTCAAATTTCATTATATTGTTTTCAATGACTAGATAAGAATAGAGATATAAAAAAACATGCACTAAATTGTGTTTTAAATTAAAAACATTAATAAATTTTGAATTATAGTACTAGAGACCTCTAACTTTCATGATTTGATTTTCCTTAAATCATTTATTGCATTAGAAATTGAAAACTTTCTGTTAATGTAAATCAATGGAACCATAAATATAATTTTATAGTACACAGTAGAATTTAAATCATAAATCATAATTTATGCAGCCATTTTGGGTATAACTTTTGCTGTTTAATATAACTATTATTAACAGAATGCAGGTCTAACAAGATCAAATAAAAACAATGATGCCTGCTGGCAATGGATGAAAAATTGACAGCTCCAATTATATTTTAAGTAATTGAAAGACATTCTTTTAACCAGTGTTACTTATTTTGTTAAATTAACACACTTTAAAGAAGAAAGCATTTTTTTTTCTGAATGTATAGTGGATTTCTCTTGGTGGTACATGGATAATATCGATCAACAGAAACCTCAACAAAATTCTATTAGCTGATAAATGCAGGTCATGATCTTTACACTGAGCATGTGTAGTCTCAACTGAAAAATAATATTTAAATAATGCATCGCTCCAAAAGAGATTCGTATTATGGCGAGACAAGTACTGAAATTTACTATGGCAGCCGAAAAATGATAATTATCCGTGGGATATTAGGCGCAATTTACAAGCGGCGCTAGTTGCGTGGTGGCGCTGGCAACGGTGCCGTTCTTTTGCTCTGATCTCTCGCGGCTCGCGGGTCCGAGTGGAGCGTCAGTCTTGCAGGAGCGGCGGCGCGAACCGCTCGCGTGCCTCTCCACCGACTTCTGCGTCGACGACCTTTCGTCCGTCAATCGCCGCGTGTTTCTCGCGCGACTGCAGCGGCCACTGAGAGCACACGTAAGTGCCAATCAAATAATTATTTTTCCCGATATCCCCGAAAGCGTCAACAGTCAAAAATGATAAAATCAAAACATGAGAAACAACCTACGTTTTTTTTATTATCTTCGGCAGTTGTTTACAAACAGCGCCGTTGAATTTGCTATTCCGCACAAAATTTATAAACACAGGCCGCTTTTCATTATCTGCTATATTTTAAGTCGCGAGCACTAAAGTTGCCATTGGTTTTGTGCCGTCAAAGGACCGTCGGCCGCTTTGATGGCTCGGAAATTTCCTCTCTCTCCCTTTCAAAGCTCCTTTTGTAATTAGCATAATTTAGCCCTGGCGAAAAGCTGCTTTTCAAGTGGAGTAATCAAAAAATCGTAAAACGTGCCGACGTCAAACTTCTTGCGCGGCTGATTTCCAACCGCAGCTGCACTGAAGTTTATAGAGCCCATTTTTGATGGACTCTTCGTCTAGCACTGAACGCGGCAATCTTCTCCAATTCAATTAGCTTAATGCAAATTCGCTGCAAATCGTTAAGATTAAACAAAACTACCAAGATTTGATGCTTTAAAGCAGTGCATCCAATCAAAACTTTAAACTACCGGCTTATAAAGTTCATTTCAAAAGATATTATCATAGCTTTTTATAGGGATGGGGAAATTACTAGATAAATTATCTGCTTTATAAGCAACAAAATTTTCAACAAAGCTTAAAATAAAAAATATTAATTGTACGAGAAAAAATTTAAATAAACCAATTTTTTCACGTATTCCTTAAAAAAAGTCACCTAAACCAAATATTACTTCTAAAATATTTTGTCGAGTCTGCTTTGTGAAAGAATTATTTAAAATTGTCACAGTAACTGTTTAAATTCTGCGGCCGTACTTTGCCGTCAGTCAATTTCCATCAAATTCTGCCTTCAATCACAATTTGGTACATTCTTCTTTCACCAATGGATGGATCGCGCAGTAAATTAAGTTGGTCGGGGGGTAAACATTATTATTTGCCAGAATGTTGCCTGTCAGTATAAAGAGAGCGAAGCTCGGCTGGCGTACGTTGCTTTGCGAAAAGTTTTGTAGCGCAGTTGCTGAATAAATTATTACTACGCTCGTGCACACTGACAAAGTGCGAGAGAGGCATCGCGCGCGCGTATTTTAATCAGAGTCGCAAAATATCTGTTTTCGTGGAACGACAAAATTAATTAAATTTCACAATGATGTTGCTCGGAAACGATTGGTCAATAAATTTGAGAGGGAAATTTATGATGCCAAAGCTCAAAACAATGGCCCTAAAATTGAAAGCTGATTTGGGGCGTAGAAATATCAAAACGTGAAAATGATATCGTGTCTTACAATGAAGTTCAAATGTTTGAGAGGATTAAAAAAAAAAATTATTTTTAACGCCCCGTAGCTTTTAACATGATCATTTCAATTATTCCGCTCCTATTTCATTGCCTACATTCAAATGGTTAAAAATTTCAAGTAAAAAATTTGAACTACGGTGTTTATTTTATTTTAGATTATTGAAAAATTTAAAAACTGCCAATCTGAACAATTTTATGATAGTTTTTTATTTCAAATCAATTGATCCCACAATATTGATCGGCAATTTAAAAAATGTGGCCAAGCTCGTCCAAAGTTATTCAACATGTTCAGAATTTACATACTTATATGGGAATGGTAATGGTGGTCTAAATTTAATGTAGAAAATTAACTACAATCTTAATCAATTAAATGATGTGGAAATTGTTTGAAAGTCACGTTCAAAATTACGTCAAACACGATTTAAAAACCCTTTGTTAGAAATTCCACGATTTTATATTTCTCGGGAGCAAATTTTCCGCTCGAATCAGAATGCGAGTGAAAGTATGCACAAAGGCAAATATTTGCGCTGTGCAAAGTCAAAGGATTTTCGCAAATGGAGGAATTCCAGGTGCCTGAGAATCCGCTCGGGCGTGCCAGCCTCCAATAAAATTGATTGCGAATTGATTCTGGTGTGGAGAGGGTGGGTAGGCGGAGCGAGGGGTGAAAAAATGAGAGCTCCAGTTTGTGCAAGAAAAAGGAGGACATGCGTTGTTTTGCTTTTCTTTTTCTCGGAGAGACAGTTATTTCCCCGCGGTGATGCATCTGCCTCGAGTTTGTCCTCCAACTTCGCCAAAACTTCGCCACCTGACGGGCTTTATTCAATTTTTCGCGGCTTTGCGTTCCACGCCGCGGGCTCTGTTTGATCGGCCTTTGAGGAAATTGCGTCAGAAGAAGCGAGCGAGTTTCATTAGGAAACTTCATTTTCGTCTCGGGCATTTTAACAGGCTGAATGGCGCAAAGTTTGCGGAGTGTGCGACTATTTTTAAGTAACAAACATCTTTCGCAAAAGAATCCGGTGAAAGATGTTTTTGCAAGGCAACTTCTTTGAAAACAAACTTCAACATAAATAAAAAGACAAAGATACTCACTGTATGTTATATTAGGAAATTTTATGAACAAAATCATAAAATCTTGGCGCCAAAAATTGCATTATTAATTCAATGTCAGCTATTAAAAAAAAAATAATGTTAAAAAATTGAATATTGAAAGGATGGAAAGGCTAAAATGGGGATTTCAAACGAAGTTTGACTAAAACTTAAAATGAACCAAGCATTTAAAATTTGCAAGTAATGAGAAAAATGGGAAGTGGAGACATGTTTCTTTTAGTTTCTTTTTTATTATTTAAATTGAATCTAGAAGTCTTCTTATTGTACATTTAGCCAGCAGTTTTTATTGTAAACAATTTTTTTTCTAGCTTGATTTGAAGAAATAAAAATTTGGAAACCAGTAATTTATTTTTTCTCGGCAATATTTAGGTAGACGGTAGGCGCCCTTATTGTCAAATAAATATCTGAACTAATTTTAAATAATGGCGACCAATAAAGTTGTAGAAATAAAAATAAGATTTTTTTGTTAGTATTACTAAAGCCTAAAAGAGTACAAAAAATAAGATCTTCGAATCCATTTTAAATTGATTTTAGTGACTTTATTCACGGATATCCATTTTATTTCTTCCTTTTCTGAACGAATTTTTGTAATTATTTATGAGTTAATTAAATTTAAACTTGTAATGGATGCTCAGTTTTAATTTGAAATGAAATACTTGAATCCAATCAAAATGTGTCAAAAGCGATACATGATTTAAGGAAATGAAGCGTCAAACTGCAAAATTTCCATCTGCTGATTCGACTGCAAACTCGGCTGGAGTTATTGTATGTAGTATTGCTGCTGGATTTTGCTCCACCGCGTTTAATTTTCCCTGCTTTATATGCGGCTGCGTTCAGTCAATTACCAAAAATAACACACGAAGCGCGAGCAACGCTGCTGGGAGTACACATTTGTATTTTTTTCAACGCTCGTTGCGGTTTTTAAAGCTTGTTTGTGTCTGAACGCACGCTTCAATAGTTGCTGTAATTTTTGCTAATGGAACACTCTTTTGGCAACTTTCCTGCCTCTCGCTGCAAAACTTGTGTACTTGATGCTGAGGGTGGGTTTTGCTTTGATCAATTAAAGTCTGTTTGTGCCACTGAAAGAATAAATTTAACGGAAAGGGAAAAATGAACCAATCTTTTTTGAACCGTCAGACTACAGCTGAAATATCGATGTTACACCAGGTTTAACAAAAATTGTAAAATGATAGATTTTTATTTTAAAATATAAATGTGGACCAGCAGTGAATGTCATGCAAATGCGAGTAGTGGTGAAAATGAAAAAGGTAGGGTTTTCAATTATTTACTTTACATTTTTATTTTTTCCACTTACTATGTGATCATTGTTAAATTTTTTGATGATTTTTTAAAAATAAAAATCTTTTAAACGTAAATTACTTGTCACTTGCAACGACATCAAGTGGATCAATGATAAAAATTATTTAATGAATCAGGAAAGTTTCTGATTGCCCAAATCAGAAAGCGAATTTTTTTCCCATTTAAAAATGAACACGTCTTTTAAGAGAAAATTATATTCGTTAAATTCTAAAAGTTTTAATTTTAATTCAGGGCTGAGTATAATCAATTTACACCCATTTTAAGACTCTACAAATACAAACGCATCTGAAGTTCTTCTTTTTTTTGTGTGAAAAAAATCATAAAATATTAATATTAAAAAAATACTTATTTCCATTACAATGTGTTACAATGAAATTTCACTGAGATTTATAGGCATTCTGCAATTATTGGCGGCGAATATTAATTATAAGGTGTGACGTTCGTCGTCTCATTTCGCTTTCAGCGGCGCGTGTCACTCACTTGCTGCGCGTCTCGGGAGCTCCTCATAAATCAAATCTCTCGTGAGCATTTTGTCAGGCGCTAATTTATCGTCCTCGAACAAGGGCAGCAATAATTTTTGGCTCGGAGCGACTTAATTGATTAATTATATTCGCCGTATAAAAACATAGATATACTTGCGAATGCATGCATTTAATCAAGATGGATCGTGTCCCGGTGGAAATTTAATCCTCTGCGCTCTCGAATCTTCTTTTTCGACACACGGCGCTAACGCTGTTTTGATCGCAACGTGGCGCGGCAATATTTTATCCGGCTGTCACGGCGCAAAGTTTGTTGTGTGCATTACGTTTAATTACTCGGCCGGTCGCGCATCTTCGTCCTAGTGATGCAGGATAAATCCGCGCGCCATTAATCATCCGTGCAACTCCCACGCCTCATAAATAAAACATGCAAAACCCACCTTGGCCTGCCAGCCCTCGCGCGCTTTCCTAGTCAATTAGGCCAACTGCGGCGGCAAAATTCAATTTTCCGCCGCGCATCTTGCAATTCCTCGCGCCCCACTTGCGGGAAAATTACGCTTGTGTGCATCTAAGGCATAATTGAATTCAACGTTAGCGTTTTGAATTTTATTGCAACGTGTCAAATTTGAGTAAAAATAACAAATAAATATACCTTAAATAAAAAAAAAATAGTGAATTAAATAAATGTTTACAAGATAGAATAATAATTTTGCAAATTTAGGCCATTTATTTCATAAGTGGCCATT